GCACAGACTGTAGCAGCCTCAATTTTCTCATCTGTGAAATGTGAAAACGCACGTGAAGAGTATGTGGGAAGAGTCCAATTAAGAGAAGTTAATTTACTACTCCATTTTTCTTCTATCATCTCTAGCATTATGATTTCACAATGAAGGGCGTTAAAATATTTCTTGAGGTTGAGACTGCCAAATTATATCATATCATTTCAGAAAACTTTAGAAGTCAAAGTATCTCCATTTTTCCACACTCTGAGCACAGAGGTCAAGCCCAGGTCATCTGAAGTGCTCAGTAAATCTCAGCTGTTAGAAAACAGTCTGTAAGCAGGGAAATGATTTGAATTCTTGACGAGTCTGATGAAATCGATTTAGATAAAGCCTGGCTTGAAGATAAATTACATATCACAATATATTTTCTTTTTTTTGAGACAGACTTTCACTCTTGTTGCCCAGGCTGGCGTGCGGTGCCGCGATCTCCGCTCACTGCAACCTCCGCCTTCCAGTTTCAAGCGATTCTCCTGCCTCAGCCTCCCAAGTAGCTGGGAAAACAGGCACCCACCACCACGTAGGCTAATTTTTGTATTTTTAGTAGAGGCAGGGTTTCATCATGTTGGCCAGGCTGGTCTCGAACTCCTGACTTCAAGTGATCTGCCCGTCTCAGCCTCTCAACATGATGGGATTACAGATGTGAGCCACTGCGCCCAGCCTATATACATCACAATTCTATCTTCTGCAAAGGGAGCTTTTATTTTGAACAAACATGTTCTGCCTCCAATTCTTCAATTCTCTAAATTCTTCCAGCGTTTTTCTTTTTCTTTTTTTTTCTTTTTTTGGCATGGTCTTGTTCTGTCACCCAGATGGGAGTGCAGTAACACAATCTCAGCTCACTGCAGCCTCAACCTCTCAGGTTTAAATTATATTCATGTCTCATCCTCTCGAGTGGCTGGGACTACAGGCGTGTGCCACCACGTGTGGGTAATTTTTGTATTTTTCGTGGAGACAGGGCTTCACCATGTTGGCCAGGCTGGTCTCAAACTCCTGGTCTCAAGTAATCCACCTGCCTTGACTTCCCAGAGTGCTGGGATTACAAGCACAAGCCACTGCATTTGCCATTCCAGCATACTGTTGATATGTAATTTTACTAGACATCATGACTTTAAGAGATTCACTACATGGCTTTGCATGTATGTGTTTAGTGGGAGAATGTAGGGAAATTATTTGTAGGTTAAATTATTTGTTTCCATGACTTTGCTTGTTGGTGCAGAACTACAGCATGCAGAGCTCTGTAATAACATGTTTAGAGAGAAAAAATGCCATCATTTATTATAGTAATACTTATCTTAAATTTTTCTCATTGATTTAAAACAGCATATGATGAACTATTTTAAACATATACAACAATGAAGGGAATAATGTAATAACCTCCATGAACCACCAACTAACTTCAACAATCATCAATAAGTACCAACCTATGGCCAATTCTGCTTTTTCCATTTACTTATTGCCCTCAACGGTGGACTCATTTGAAGCAATTTGCAGACGGTATGTCCTTAAATCAGTAAATACTTCAGTATAAGTCTCTGGGATACAATAACTTAGAGAAACACATTTTTTAGTATCTTTATCATACATAATCCAATAAATAATAATTTTTAAAAATTTCATTAACTGTCCAGATTTCACATTACTTTAATTATAACTTTTATACATAATTTAGCACATTAGGGCCCAAGAATGCCCACACATTCAGCTGTTGTACATGTCTTTAGATAGCTTTTAATCTACAGGTGCCCTCCTTTCACAATTTTTCTCCGCATTTTATATGTTGAAGAAGTCGGTTGTTTGTCCTGTACAGTTTTCCACACACTGAAAAGTACTACTGGAAGTACCAAACTACTGCTGAGCTATGTCAACTATATTTTTTACACTAGTATTGTACTTATTACTAGAAATAATTATGAATAGAAATGATTTGCTAATTCTGCTATGGTCTGAATGTGTTCCTCCATAATTCCCCAAAGTGAAGGGATTAGAAGGTGGGGCCTTTCGGAAGTGATTTAGGTCATAATGGCACCACCATCCCGAGTGAGATTAGTGCCCTTAATAAAAGAAGCCCCAGAGAACTGCCTTGATCCTCCGTCATGAGCGGATGTGGCAAGAAGGCAGCATCTATGAAGCAGAGAGCCCTCACCAGACATCAAGTCCACTGGCGTCTTGATCTTACATTTCCTGGCCTCCAGAACTGTGAGCAATAAATTTCTGCTGTTTATCAATGACCTCTTCTAAGGTATTTTGTTATAGCTGCCTGAATTGACTAAGATGAAGTCAGAGAAAATGGGATTAGAATTTCCTATTAGCTGAAGTATCTCATCTTTTAGATGAGAGTCCATTTAATCTTTTGGAGCTACTAGAAGAGACTGAGGTTGGAAATGCTGAAGTTTTAGAGTATTTCTTAATATCTCCTCAAATGTGTCCCTACTCTAAACCATTGTCAAGCTTCCTGTGGAGGAACAGTTATCGAGAAATACATACATTTATTCCTGAACAAGAAGAACCACTATGAAATCCACCATGAAGACTTTTTTCTTATGAGTTTATTCATCTTTAAACTTCAATTCAAAACATGCTTGTTGAACTTCTATCCTATACAAATAGAACTCTGCAGGAGTTGACATTCAAGTGAAGAGCTGATGGATGGGTCGATAAGCTCAAAACAGAATAAAATACATATTATTAAAGCACTAATATTCTTCTAGGTTTGATTCTGAATACAGCATTGATTTGTTAAGCATTTTGTTGCAAGTTTGTAGTGAAATAAAAGACAAGAAAGTCCAGCTTCTGTTAGCAACACAGAAATCTAAAATGTATCGCTCAAACCAATGGTCTTAAAAAAAATTACATGCAAATTTGCACTTGTCAAAAGATGAGACTTGTACTTATCATGAGATGAGATTTGCACTCATCACAATGTAAATAATTTTATTCTTCTAAATGACTCCTACTTGCTTTTGTACACAATAGCAAACTGGTTAAAAATTATATATATATATAATATATATACATACACAATTATATATATATATAATATATATACATACACACACACACATATGTGTGTGTGTGTGTGTGTGTGTATTTCAATTTCTTTTTCAAAATTTAAGTCCCAGAATTGTTCTTGAGATTTTTACACATAAATGCCCAAAGGTAGCTTTTGGCATTTAATAGAGACTGACTCTTTAGATGTGAAAAAAAATTCCATTCCTATTATACAGAAATCTCAGGCTGTAAATGTATTTCAAAATAAATCATAAAAATATTTAGCAAAAGAAGTTCTAATAAGGGATTTATATAATTGTAGTAAAATAAATATGTTTCAGTAAGAAAACAACTTAAATGTTTTGCACATATTCATCATTAGCACTCTCTATTGATAATTATATGTGGGTATGGAGCTGCAGCTTGTATGGCAAGTCCCCTAGTAGACTTCAGAGGTCATCATTCCATCTGTAATTTCTACATGTCGCTTACCAGGAGACGGATAAAGCAGGGAATCTCACTTCAGACATGAAAGCTTGCCTGTTTTCTAAGATAATAACCTAAGGAATCTCTACTGATGCCAGACAGCTTCAAACCCTTGAGCTGAGAGATGCACCTTCATAAGCACCCTGCAGACCCACATATATTGTCATATATTCTACTGGTCACACTTAACTGCTTTCTTATGTTCATCACTACTTTTCTCACAATAAGCAATAAAAATAAACACATGAAGTCTTTCCTTCTCTATTCATCCACAGAAAACTATGAAAGGAAAAGAGATCTATGGCCTCTATAGTTCTAGTTCAAACTAGACATTTTGTAAAGTTTTGTAAAGAATATGGTTCATGCTGACTCACCCTGGATTAGGTAAGTCAGCATAATTAAGATCTAAACACAGGATGATACAGAGCTTTTCTAAAAATAAAACTGGCCAATTTTTAAGTTTTTAAAGTGTTCCCATTTGCGACAGTGATGGGTAGGTATCCATCATTTCTTAGTCATATACAGTATGAGACTAACTGACACGAGAACCTCTGTTGAATCATGTTTAATCTCGGAACTCTGTAAGTCTATTAACCTGATTTTACAAACAAGTAAACCAAAGTTCACTATAGAGTCTTCATCTTGGCCAAGAAATCGACACTAGTAAAAGTCACAGACTTGCATCTCAAACACGTTCTATTTAATTGTTTATCCTACCACACTACCCACGTTAAGAAAATAAAGCTAAACAAATTACATGGTTATGAAAATTCCTCCCAAATGCTATGGAGTTGTAATTCTTCCTGTACTATAATATAGCTTGGTTTTCTATTTTTTCATGTTTACCTTCCTACAGGTTGACTTTACCCCTCTGTTTGATAAGGAGAATTGTATTTCTACTGCCTTTATTAACACTTAGTTTTTAGGTATACTTAATAAAACTATTCATGCAGTGCTATTAAGATGCCTAAATAATTTAATACTTTCAAAATGCCCCAAATTATAGATGGATTAAAAACAACCCATGCCTCTCTAATGTATTTTTATGATTTTCCAATAGTCCTATGTATGAATGTCACATGGAGATGAATCTACAAATAACATCACGTAGCATAATAGAGCACTTCCACTCTAATGTTTGGCCAGGGTTTTTGAAAGTCTTCCCATTATTTCAAATATTCATTTTCTCCCTTCTCTCTGACCTAGTTGAAACAGCATTTCCATTAGCACAACTCTGGTCTTCATCTTGCATTGTCTTTTAAAACAAGTGATTCTGCTTTCAATGTGTGACTACACCAGTTGTTTACAAGATTACATAAAATGATTAATATACTGATAAACCAGAGATATTAATCTTAAAACATGAGAGTAAATTATTTATTTTAATTCCATACTTGTAAGTAGTTACACTGTCTTTACAGAATTAAAAACAGAACTTAGTTTTAAAAAGCCATTCAAGTTCACACAATTTTAAAAGAAAGACTACTTACTTGTTCAAATTCATTCTTTTGAAACTCTTCAAAACCAAAAATGTCCAATATGCCAATATCCAATGTCTGCATGCTGAAAGAAAACAATACGCCAGGATAAATGGGCATCCTTAAAACTCCTTCTGACCCCCTGCTCATTCTTCAGGTCAGAAGAATCCAGACACTTAGCACATTGCTGCCAATTTGGACTAAAAATATGAAATAATTATTTTAGAGTCTCATTAAAAAAACTCTGAAAGTTAGTCCCCCAAAAGTGTTATTTTAATGCTTTGATTCAAACACACGCACATTTATAAAAACACATCATCCTGTAAATCTGTTTAAGTTCCTTATAGATGCTGGATATTAGACCTTTGTCCAATGCATAGTTTGCAAAAGTTTTCTACCATTCAGTAGGTTGTCTATTTACTCTGTTGACAGTTTCTTTTAATAATCTGTACAACAAACTCCCATGATGCAAGTTTACCTGTGTAACAAACCTGTACATGCACCCTTAAACTTAAAAATTTTAAAAAACAAGAATTTGAGGCCAAAAAACCCGAAAGCCACATTGATTTTAAATTAAAAATGTACCACTATGTGGGTGATTTAATATTTGCTTATCTGAAATTGTCCTTGTTGCTGTCTCCTTAGGTTGGACTTCTTTTCCTTTAGGGAACGGAACCTACATGTCAAGTGGTCCTCACTAGCTGTACTTGTGTCTTCTCAGGCTATGCAAGCAGTAAGTCAGAATTTTTTTTCATCACACCCAAGTGTGATGTAAGGTAAAACACAGTTAAGTCGCACACATGTTCTTTAATGGATCAAATTTAGTCACTTTAAAAATTCTTCCAGAAGTAATTCTTACAAAAGGAGAATGAAAAAAGTAGAACTTTTGAAAGATAATTTAAATAAATCAATCTTGTTATTCAATGTGAACTATCACTCTTGGAAACAGAATTTACTACAATTTTCGATGATAAAAATCAGAGATGTCTGAGCCCACTTGGTAAGCAAGGAAAGATGTAAGACAGGCCCAAGTCAGTGACAGCCGCTCTAGCAACGGAGTTCGGGTGAAGAGGGTTGCAGGGAAGGGTAGCATGGGTGACGCTGGCATGAGCCTGCTTCTTACAAGGAAGCCCAGAGATAATTCTGGAATTTCTGGGAGGACACATACCCCACCTCTTCCACATCACTGATGTATAGTATGAATGGGACAAATGCTGTGCTAATTTCCTGCCAATGGGTACACTGTTCTGTTATTATTATTGTGCTTACAGGGTCAATGTCCATTATTTGACTGGTTGTTAAACTGGTATTTCCTTGCTTTTTCCAAACTGCAGAACCAAACTGGCAAACACCTCAGCCTTTGCACTGTATTTTGTTTTTCACATACAGTACATAATTATAATCCATGAGGGTCTATAATACATCGCTTCAATGACCATTTTTTCTCTAAAAATGTAGTCATAATTCTATAATATCCTGCCTGTAATATCTGTTGTTATATGTGGTAGAATATAAGCTTCATAAGTAGGAGGGAGAGAATTTTTTAAAAGCCTTCATACAAATTTCACATGTTAAAGAATATAATACAAGGAGAGAAAAAAAGAAATCATTCAATATATTTTCCTAATTGACTTAGTTTATAAGAAGAAAGAATAAAAATAGCTTTATAACTCATAGTGTGTCCAAATAAACTCTACATGGATTAAATGCTGGAACAAGAAATTAAAATGGTATAAGAAAACAAATGCGATTGTTTTTTCTGACTTCAGTTTTGAGAAAACTCAAAATAAGTGTTTTAAACTATTGAACACTTTTCAACTATTAAACACTTATTCAACTATTAAACTCCTTTGCAGGATAAGTAATATAAATAAAACTGTTTCTGTTAGAGGTAAATGTTATGTAAGAATGTATTGCGTCATTCGTTTTGGTCGGTACTTTTCAATTTACTGATATATCTCTCCAGTTTTCTGTTCACCATCCAGCATCCACACGTCCTCCTCTCCATCCTGCTGGCCTTACGATATGCACAAAGAGATGTTTGGAATGATGTTCATTCAGTGCTAACAATGCTGCTGAGGCTTAGGGTGATTTTTTGTTTGTTTTGGTCATGTGCGTGTGTCTGTGTGTGTGTGTGTTGGGTGTGTAGCAGGGTGTGGTTTGGTGTGTGTGTGCTGAGTGTGTAGTGTGGGGGTGTGGTTTGGTGTATGTGTGTATGTGTGTGTGTTGGGTGTGTAGTGGGGTGTGGTTTGCTGTGTGTGTGTGTGTGTTGTCTGTGCGATGCGCTGCATCATTTTTCTTAAAGCAGTTTGGTGATAAAGTTTGTCAGACTTTGGAGATGTTCAGTCTTGGGGTAGGTTTAAATACTTTTTGGTTGGTTAACTTCAGATAAGTTACTTAAATATTTTGAACTGGAGTTTCATCGTGTATACAAACAGGAGACCAAGTAAAATCTGTCCACCTAGATCATTGCTAGAATTAGAGATGATACGAAGTTCTAAAACAAATAGCTGTTATATAGAGTTTTCAAAAGGCTACCTCTTTAAAAAAAAAAAAAAAATTAAATATCAATCTTATTAAAATTACAAAGAAATACAATTTGAAAAAATTAGAATGAGAAAGATATTTTCCTATACACTTTTTCTGATAGTTTAAATTGGTAGAGGCTTCCTCAAAAACAATTTAGTTATAAAGCTTTCCAATACTGATATCATTTGAACCAGTACTTCCATATATGGGAACCTATTCCAAGATTTTCAGAAATGCTTTTGAAGACTTATAAACAAGGATATTCATTTTTATCTTAATTACTACAACTACAAAAAGAAATATTTATTTATATCCCAGACTGAAAACACAATTAATTAAATAGCATGGACCCTATGATAAATTAAAAAAATATATATAAATTCTGTATAAATAATAACCCCAATTATATATCCACAAGACCTGGAAATAGAATGAGACTTGAAAAAGGAAATGGAGATATTGCTTTCTTTACTTCTTTTAACTATTCTCAATTTTCTAAGGTTTCTATATTGAAACATCTATTTTTATAACCAGCAAATATTTCATTGATGTGTATATAAACGTAATATGAAAACACAGGAAATGTTCATGAACAACATTAATCCCAAAACAAAAGCCAGAAACAAAATGTATACCTTTAGCATACTTAAAGTATAATTTGAACTATGTTAAAAAATAAACTTAAGACACAGGAAAAATAAAGTCTATGTTAACAGTACATGTAATAAGCTGGTAGACCTGGAGGTGATTTCTTAATTTCCTAAATGTTCTATACTGAGAATTATAAGAATATTTATCTTTAACCTTATTTAAAAACTATATTTGGGCATTTTCTAATTTTGTAGAGAAAAGTGACACCAATATCCCTAAGGGCAGAGAGGGGAAACTACAGACCCGTCGCAGTAGGAGAAAAGTGTCTGGTTTTGCATGTGATAAGAGATGCTAACAAGGCAGGGACAACTTAAGGAGTCAGGAGAAAAAGCACTGGGGCCTCTCCCCTGAAGGCCGGGTGCTGGTCCCAAGCACAGATGCCTCTGTTCACTGGCATCAGGGTCCCTATGTCAGGCTCTCAGGTTTGATTACCCTCCTTGCTTCCCAGTTGACCTTGGCAGAAGAGACCCTATGATCATGGCATATTGTTTTGATAGAATTTAGGGAAAAGAGCAACAGATACCAGTGACACCATGTCGCTTCATACATACCTGCCTCCCTTACAAGATGGCAAAATGCATCCACACACAGAGAAGAGAAATTTGGTCACTGTGGCATGTGTGGGTGGGCAAAATCATTACAGGATGGGTTCACACTAGGGAAAGTGAATGATTAATTAGTAATTTAGAGTGGCATACATTTGATTGGAAGGGTATTCCTCTTAAATGATTTTTTTTTTCACATTTCGCAGATACCGACTCTAAACATACTTGGTTTTTAAAAAAAGAAAATTCCATTGTCAGGAGAAAAATTAAATGTAAGTTTAAAGCATTTGAAGGACTACTTCTGCAATTACTGAGACGCATAACATGTTCATTTAAAATAATTTATTTCATCATTTATGACTGAAATATGTGTCTGTTACTGCAACAGTAACCTTGGCAGGATAGTAATAAAAACTTTTAGCCAGCAAAATGCCCATACTACATAGCAGTCCGCATGACTGTCCTTTCCCTAATTGATATTTGACTCCTATTCCACAGGCATTTAACTTAACATTCAATTTCTGACAAGGGGGAGCAGAGAGGTCATGTGATCCAGCCAAGACTCAATCCTATAGGCAAAATTAACATATGAATTAGATGATCTGTTTCAGTTCAAATTCTGCCTTAGAATTCTCCTGAGAGCTTTCCTGATAGTTAACAAAACTGTCAGCTTGCATTGACATATTAGTAAAATGCAACACCCTTTACATCAGACAAAATATTAAATGCCAAGACATCAGTCTGGTTTTCATTCTACCTTTCATGTAGATAGGTATAGGGTGGAGAAAGGACTGAATTAAAGAGAATGTCTATCTTAGAACATGGGCAAACTCACTTCATCTGAGCAGAACAATCTGATGGTGTGTACAAGGCCGCTTTTGTCCTCAATTATCCTCAGGCAAGGAGATTCCCTAGAGAGTTATCCAAGTAGTCAGTTTAGGAAATAGCTTAACCCTACTTGGCACAAAAACCCTTAGACTGACTTAGACCAGTAGGACCCCAGATGGGGCAAGAATTAAATATAAACACATTCCAGACGTGAGCAATCTTGTCCAGACCTACTGCCCTTGGGATCAGCTGCACGTACATAGAGGCTAGTGCTGGAAAGTCCCTGGAGACACCGAGCATTCATCAACTGCACTGTCAATATGCTGATTTATTCATTTACAATAAGTTTTGCTTTCCTTAGTTGGCATGATGCCTCGCTGTGGAGGTGAACGCTGCTTAAATCTTACCTTATTTCAACCTCTCTGGGTATTTTTCAGTCTTTGAGAGAAACTTGGGGGGAAGAAGTAGGACTCTAGGATTGCATACTTTGGGGGGTTCCTCTCTTTTATTCTTTGAGAAAGTACCTGAGACT